CTCAAAACATGCCATTACTTTTTCAACTAAATTGACATAATATTCTAAATCCTTGATTGGCATTTCAACAATCCTCACAGCATCTTCACTGGGAATAAATTCCATCTCAAGAAACCACTTTCTTTGCTCATCTATAAGAAGCAGCTTCTCAGTCATTCAGGTTTTACCATGAGATTGATCTTTAGGCTCCACTTCCAATCTCCTGCTATTTCTACCACATCTGTAGTTATTTCCTCCACTGAAGTGTTGAATTTCTCAAAATTATTCATGAGGGTTGCAATCAACTTCTTCCTAACTCCTGTTCATGTTGATATCTGGACCTCTTTCCATGAATCACAATGTTCTTAACATTAATTTGTGAACACTTTCCTGAAGTTTTCTATTTACTTTGCCCAGATGCATCAGAGAAATCACTGTTGATGGCAGCTGTAGCCTTAAGAAATGTATTTCTTAAAAAATAAGACTTGAAAGTCAAAATTACTCATCAATCTATGGGCTACATAATGGATGTTGTGTCAGCAGGCATGAAAACAACTTAAATGTCATTTGTATATCTCCACCAAGACTCTTGGGTGACCAAGTGTATTGTCACTGAGCAGTAGTCTTTTGAAAGGAATATTTTTTTTTCTGGGCATTAGGTCTCAGTGGTTTAAAATATTCAATAAACTATGTTATAAAAATATATACTATCATCCAGCCTTTGTTGTTCCATTAATGGAGCATAGCAGAGTAGACTTAGTATAATTCTCGAAGGCCCTAGGATTTTTGGACTGAAAATGAGCATTGACTTCAATTTAAAGTCACCAGCTGCATTATCCCTTTACAAATGAACTTTGAAGCTTTGAGGTCAGGCTTTGACTTTTCTCTAGTAATGAAAGTTTTTGGCATCTTTGAATATAAGACTGTTTTATTTACAATAAAAATCTGTTGTTTAGTGTAGCCACCTTCATTGATTATCACAGCTAGATTTTCTGGATAACTTCCTGCAGCTTCTACATTAGCATTTGCTGCTTCATCTTGTATTTTTATGTTATGGAGATGACTTTTTTCCTTAAACCTCATGAACTAACCTCTGCTAGATTCAAGCTTTTCTTCTACAAGTCCTTCGCCTTTCTCAGCCTTCATAAAACTGGAGAGAGTTAGGGCCTTGCTCTGGATTAGATTTTGGCTTAAGGAAATGTTGTGGCTGGTTTGATCTTCCATCTAGACCACTGAAGCTTTCCCCAAATCAGCAATAAGACTTCTTTGCTTTCTTATCATTCATGTGTTCACTGGGATAGCATTTTGAATTTCCTTCAAGAACTTTTCCTTTGTGTTCACAACTTTCTTTGCCACAAGAGGCCTAGCTTTCAGCCTGTCTCAGCTTTTGACATGTCTTCCTCACTAAGCTTAATCATTTCTAGCTTTTGATTTACAGTGAGAGACATGTGACTCTTCCTCTCACTTGAACCCTTAGAAGCTATGGTAGGGTTATTAATGAGTTTAATTTCAATATTGCTATGTCTCAGGGAACAAGAAGGCCAAGGAAAGGGAGAGAGACAAAGAAACAACCAGTTAGTAGAGCAGTCAAAATACACATGATACTTATTAAGTTTGCCATCATATATGGGTGCATTTGTGGTACCACAAACAACTATAATAATGACATCAAAATCACTTGATCACAGAGAACCATAACAAATATAATGATGAAGGAGTTTGAAATATTGCAAGAATTGCAGGAATTCTGAAATATGACACAGAGACCCAAAATGAGCAAATGCTGTTGGAAAAAATGGTGCCAATAGTTTTGCTTCATACAAGGTTGCCACAAACCTCAGTTTGTAAAAGATGCAATGTCTGCAGAGTGCAGTAAAATGAAATGCAATAAAACAAGATGTGTCTGTATAATGCTCTTTCTTCTTTCACACCATACCACTACATTATAAAAGGCCCAAGTTTCCTTTACTAAGTACATGTCTTGCTTTCAACAAAAAATTACAAGCCATACAAAAAGGCAAAAAAACACAGTTTGAAGACAGAGAGAGTAACAGAAACAGACCTAGATATGCCAGGGATGTAGGAATCATCAGACTACAAATTTAAAACCACCCTGCTTAATATGCTATGAGATCCAATGGGAAAAGTAGCCAATGTGCAAGAACAGATGGGTAATGTAAGCAGAAAGATGAAAATTCCAAGAAAAAATAAAAAAAGAAATGCTAGTGATAAAAAAAAAAGACTGTAACAGAAATGAAGAATGCCTTTATGTGCACATTAGTAGATGGGACATCACTGAGAAAAGAAAATCTGCGCTTGAGGATTTATCAAAAGAAATCTCCCAAACTGAAAGGTAAAAAGAAAAAAACAAATTGGGAAAAAAAAAAGGGAAGAGAACATTCAAAAACTGTGGGACAATTAGAAAAAGGGTAACATTCATGTAACAAGAAAACCAGAAAAAGAAGAAAGGAACCAAAGAAATGCTTGAAGCAGTAATGATTCAGAATTTCCCCAAATTGATACTAGACACCAGGCCACAGATCTAGGAAATTTAAAGAACACCAAGTAAGTGACTGTCAAAGAACTACACTTAAGTACATTATATTCAAACTGCAGAATATATAAGATAAAGAAAAGGTTCTTGAAAGAAGCCAGGGGGATAAAACACTTTATATATAAGAGGAGCAAAGAGGGGCGCCTGGGTGGCTTAGTCGGTTAAGCGTCCGACTTTCGCTTAGGTCATGATCTCGCGGTTCGTGGGTTCGAGCCCCGCGTCGGGCTCTGTGCTGACTGCCAGCTCAGAGCCTGGAGCCTGTTTCAGCCTGTGACTCCCTCTCTCTCTGACCCTCCCCTGCTCACGCTGTCTCTCTCTCTCCTAAAAATAAATAAAACATTAAAAAAAAAAAAAAAAAAAGAGGAGCAAAGATAAGAGTTACGTTTGACTTCTCAGTAACCATGTAAGCAAGAGGCAAAAAGAGACTTCTCTACAGACCTCCATTAACTCACCTGTAAAATAAGTCTTATGATTCGTGTCCCAGCTGATACATAGTAAGTACTCAATGAAGGGTCTTAAAAACAGTAAAACCTTGGTTTGCAAGCATAATTTGTTCTGGAAACGTGCTTGTTATCCAAATCACTTGTATACCAAAGTGAATTTCCCCATAAGAAATAATAGAAATTCTGATGATTCATTCCACAACCCAAAAATATTCATGTAAAAATGATTACAATACTGCAGTGTAATGCAAAATAATAAAGAAAATACAAAATATAAAGAAAAATAATAAAATTAACCTGAACTTAACGTTTGAAAACCTTCATGACTTTTGTGAGACAACTATCATTAATGGAATCACTACTATCTACTGACTCAATGGAATCTCTTTCTTTTTATGCAGTTTTAGCAAGGAGCCTATCCAATGACACTTGCTTTTGCCTCCTTTTGAGAATTTTATGGAAATGTGACATTACATTGTCATTAAATAGATTAATCGCTCACACTGCTACAGCCCTATTCAGGTGGTACTTTTCTACAAAATTTTGCATTGTTTCCCACATTTTACACATCTCCCTAATCTCATTTCAAGTGAGGGATTCCTCTGCCTTTTTCTCCTCCTCTGCAGACGAATGCAGATGTAGATTCCTTATAAAATCTTGCAATATCAGCCACTTGTATACCTTGTTTGTACTTCTCAATGATTTCTTTCTTCCACCGTAATCATCTCTGTCTTCTTATCACCTTTCTTTTCAACCTTTTTCTGCATGGGAACCATTGTATGTGCTTGCATGGATATTGACTATAATACAGTATTAATAAACTCTTGTTATATACTGTATTTAATGTAACTTGCAATAAGGCAGCAGGAGGAAAGGGTCTATATCTGGAGACAGCCTGCCTAGAATGAAGCAAAGCATTCCTAAGCTTACTTCTGTATGGAAAAGCAAAGGACTATCCATAGGTGCTTTGAGGTGACAAAAAATGCATTAGTGCCAGTTGTGAGTACCTTCTAACATTCCGAAAAATCACTGATTTCTGCCAAACACTGTGGCCTGAGCCTGAGCACCTGAGCATGGGAGGCAGTCACCCACAATCCCACAGAGAGGGAGAGAGAGCGAGAGCAAGAGAGAGAGCGAGAGAGAAGAACCTTTGGCTCAGTTGTGATCATGTGACGTTCGTTCAGTGTATCATACTACTCGTATTACAAGACATCACTCATTTATCAAGTTAAAATTTATTAGAAATGTTTGCTTGTCTTGTGGAACACTTGAAGAACAAATTACTAGCAATCTAAGGTTTTATTGTATTTCAAAATATCTGTTGGAGGCTCAGGAGGAAATCTCTTTATCTCCTATTAACAGTAGATGCATATAACATGTAGAAATCTTCCAAATTATTATGTAGAAGTTACACATTAGAAACTAATGGGTTTGTGGATGTCCTGGCTACTGAATGCTCATGAACCATGTATCTTGCTAGAAGAAAAGCATTCAGAATATTTTCTGGATTTAACTCTTCAACTATATCACTCCTGGTCAGTCATTCCCTTCACATTCCAGGAAATTTAGGGAAAGGAGGAATGAGAAGGAGCAAGTAATATCCTCCCTGCCAGCTCTGTGCCTGGCCCTTTGTAGTGCACATGGCCTGCATTATCCCAAGTTGGTCTCCAAACAACCCTAGGAGGTAGATATTAAATTTTCCGTTTTACACGTAAGGCAGGTGGGACTCAGCAAGGTTAAGTAGCTTGCTGATGATCACTAAGTTACTAAGGAGTAGAGATGGGATTTAAAAGCAGCCTGCCACATGGAAAAACATGAGCTCTTAAGTAATGGCAGCAGGGGAGCCTAGACTCTTGGTCAGGGGAGCACCCATGTGTAGGAGCTTCTGGATGAGACTGGGTGGTCCATGCTCTTAATCCAGAACAAGAAGTAGTATTTTCATTAATTTCTTGAATTGAAAATGACCTTAGGAGCCTCTAAGGAGCAACATATTGTTTCCCTGTGCCCTTTTCTTTAAGAAGAGTATGGGAGGCTCACCAATTGTGAATATGGACATCCTTTATTCTGGCTAATAATCTGCAGCCCTGGTTGAGGTATACGGATGAGGACTGACACCCTGAGATGCTGCGCACAAGCTGCCCCCTTCTCTGCAGCAACACTTGGATCAGTTGGAGACACTCAAAATGAAGAACAGACGTCTTTTCATATTCTGTAAAAAGAGGGAATATTTTATGTCAGTTTCTGACACACGTAACTGGAAGGCTCCTGAAGGTAGAAGAAAGATCTCTCTGCCTCTCTTGCTGTTTTCCCCTGATTCTTTCTGTCAGTCTGTCTGAATGGGATGTATGAGCTTCTTAAAGGAGAATTTCTTAAAGCAGCAAGAGTTATTGGAGTATAAAAAAGTTTCATGAGGAAAATTTGATATTTCTTCTTTATTGTTATAGTCACAATTATATTCAATTACTGATTTGGTTTTTATGGTAAATATCACAGTATACTCTCACTGTGAAGTCAGTATAATTAACTGTAAGGTTAGGGCAGGCATAAACTACACATTCTGGTTTTTTCCACTACATTCAGAAACCTAGCATTCACTCCTGCATTTGACATGTATTTGTGGGGCAACTATTATCTTCCTGTCACTGTGCTAGGTATTGGAGACATAAAGAAAAATGGGACATGGTCTTCACTCTACAAAAGTTTATAGTCTAGTAGGTGAGGGATATATATAAACAAGTATCTCCAAAAAGAGGGAAACAGAGAGGAAAAGGTGGGAAGAGACAGGAGGCAACCAGGAGGTGTCACTGTTGTGATGTCTCTTATCACCCAGTGGAGGGGAAAGGGAAGGGCATTTTATACAACCTTGTTGCTGGGAAATGGAAAGTATGAGGAAGAAAGGCAAGACATAAATCTGGAAGTCTATATTGGGGTCAAATTGTCAATGGCCTTATATAATATGCCATTAAAGAGTTGAGGCTTTTTCAGTCAGACAAAGGCTGACAGCCATCAAGGAAACAAAACCTCAGTGCTTCAACTGCAGGGGCTGCATTCTGCCAATGACCTGAGTGAGCAAGGGAACAATCCACCTCTAGAGCCTCCAGAAAGGAATGAAGTTCTGCATATCTGACATTAGCCCAATGAGTACTGGGTCAGACTTCTGACCTCAGGACCGTAAGATAGTAATTTTGTGTTGTTTTAAGCCACTAAATGTCTGGTAATTTGTTGTGTTAGCAATAGAACACTAATACAGGGACTAGAGTAAGCCAGCTTCCTTTCCTGGCCCTCCTTCCCTGGTCTTTTCCTTTAATGCAGTGGCCCCCATGGGTCTATTGTTTGGAATGTTCTTCCTCCCTTCTAATATTTTCTAAGATAGACTCGGAGCCTCAAGAGCTTTACAAGGGGAAGGAAAAGTGTAAAGCAAAGATTCCAAGCCAAGTTTTGTTTGGCTTGCATAGTATTATAAAAAAATTTTAATTTATTATTTTTTCTCTTTTCCTTTTTTCTTTTTCCCTCTTTTCGTCTCTCCCCCATTTCTTTTCTTTTCTCTTCTTCTCTTCGTCTCTCCCCTCTCCTCTTCTCTCCTTTCTTCTTCTCCTCCTTCTTCTTCTTCTTCTTCTTCTTCTTCTTCTTCTTCTTCTTCTCCTTCTTCTCTTCCTCCTCCTCCTCCTCCTCCTCCTTCTCTCTCTCTCTCTCTCTCTCTCTCTCTCTCTCCCTCTCTCTCTCTCTCCTAATTTAGGAAGTTCTGACCATACTGGGTTGGCTGGCTAGAGCTATTACTGTCCCCTTTGAGATGTATTCACCAGTTCATCACAGTTTCTACCATTCTCTATTATCTTTCATGGGTGGCTTACTCATTTATATTACTTGATTACATACTAGGTGACTGCTCTTGTGATACTAACCTAAATCTGAAGTTAGAACATACTAGATCTGAGATCTCTGAAGTGAGAGAATAAGAAACCAAAGGAGGCAATCAGCAAGCCTCAATAAATCCTGAGGAGAAATACTTTTTCAACTGAGAGTGTTTCTATTAATCATTGTGGGGTCTTTTGAATAACATGTTGTGTGTGCTTGTGTATCTGCACACAAGTATACCTGTGGATGATCACACACAGGGAGAGAATTATGAAATGGGCAAAGATCACAATTTCAAATGCGTTCTTTAAGTGATCTCTCTTTTCCTTTAGTGGGACCCACCTAATGCCATTCAGAAGTTCAGCTTCACCTCAGTACAATGTAAGGGTATTTAGGGACATGACACTGAGTCAATATTTTACCAGATCCTCATCAATCACTTTGTTGCTGGCCTAACTTCTTCCCTGATTCCATGTGCAAGCTCTTGTTCCTCTGACCAAGGTCATTCCTGCCACTTAGACTCTAATAGACCTCTTCTCCATTCTTTTCCTGGCATCTTGCCTTAGTTTCTTGCTGGATTTTTAAAATCTGGAATTCTGTCTCATGTACTCTGCTCTGTCTGTTAACTCAGGGTCTATTTTGAAGCCCTAGCCCCTTTAGGGGAAGAAATTTTCACTCCCTTCTTCTGGACTTTTTATTTTTTTAGACTAAATTCTTGCCTCACTGGACCCTCTCCTAGTGGCCTGAGGCTCTCCACATCTCATCTGTATCCAGACCTTTTCTAGTCACATCTACTTATAGTCTTCCTGGGCTATTGCAATCAAAGCCCCATTCAGATAATCTCACATTTCCCTGTGTTTGTCAGTCCTGTTCTGAATTTTTCATCCTCAAGGAAAGTCTAGGAAATAAAGGGCATCAGCATAGCAGGAAACTGGCTGGAAATTTGTGAGACTTCCCCAATAAGCTTTCTAGTCTTTCCTTGTTCTACAACATAGAGAGCTGAGCCAACATTTCTTCAATTATCTCAAGTGTGTGTGTGGGGTCATTTAGGACATTTGGTCATTTTAATCCTGATTTTTTTCAAAGGACAAAAAATGGGCCTAGTGACTCTATAACTAGGTCAAAATTTTCCCAAAGAGACTCTTTACATATTAATTGGCAAACAAACAGAACTCCAGTGAAGAACTATTCCTTTTGGAGATGAAAAGTGGTATAGAGGGTGACCATGGAATGAGATCTAGCCAAAGATTCAGAAATGGTGTGTTCTAGTCCAGACTCTGCCACTTAATACCTGGTGATCTGGGGAGAGTCACTTACCTTCTGTGTGTGTCAGTTTCTTCATCTGCTTAAAATTAGTTAGGTTTTAACATGGTTACTCACAGGGTTGTGAGGATTTCCTAAGATAATGGATGTGAACCATTGTCCAAATGGGAGATACTAGCATTAAAAGATCCCATCTGTCACTGTTGAATAAAAAAGAGCACCTTGTTTATAAGAGCGTTTAATGCCATCTACATACATTTGTCATGGAATTCTTGTCATGACAACCATGAGTCAGAGATTTGCTCAAGGCCATGCAGCTCTAGAATGAATTGAGTACCCAGGTCTCCTGACCCTGAGAGTTGTGTGATCTGTTACTTTCCCACTGTGGAATGACCATCTCTGACAGGATCTTCCATTCAAGGAGGGCAGAGGTGCTTCTGGTCATGCTCTCTGCCTACATCTTACCCACTGAAGTCTGGTCCTTCCATGTCTGGGCTGTCACCCCATTGATCTTTCCAGGGCAGATGACACCAGGGCATTTCATTTCTGATCAGAAAATTTTCTGTCAGTGTTATGAGGCTTCTGAGAGATGATGTGCTTCTTTTGAGAGACTGACTTGACTACTTTTTCCCCCTTTTGTTGCTGGGTAAGTTTTGTCTGAAGGAAGAAGAAGAGTGCCAGTTATTAGAGTGGCAATGAGGTCACTAGAGTACTCTCTGCTGGCTTATTGCCAACATTCCCTTTAGGTATAGTAATGGCCAAAACCAAAATCCTTTGCCTTCAGGATAGGGCCCCTTGCATTCTTGTTCTCACCTTCCTCCCCAAGAACTTGCAACCCCTGAAGCTATGCTTTGCCTTTCTATACAAAGAACTCCAAATTACCTGGCTTGTCTTCCAGGCACCAGCACTAGCAAGTGATGCTGGGGCAGCTCCAAGCCCCTGTAGCTCCAAGCCTTCTCCAAGACTTGTAGAAGGTCTGAGAAGGTGGGATGGCTGGTGAGGAAACCAGGCCTTCCATTCACAGAGCCTGATATCTATAACCTTGACTTTCAAGGGGCTCTTGGGCTCAGTTGTGGTTTCCATGACCCACTGGGGATTCTTTCAGAGCCCCAACTTAGCATTAATTCCACTTTGGTTCTTGTATAGAAGTGAGTTAGGCTGAATCAGATTTTGACAGGCCCAAGATCTTCATGCTTTTATTGATAATATCCTGCCAAGTAGAGCAACTCTTCTTTCCATTTTAAACACCTTACCTTGAAAGACTGGAGTATTAGGGAGGCTGGCAAGAAAAGATCATCTGGGACACTCTTCCCCCAGAAATAGTGTTCTTCTGTAAAATGGATCAGGGGTTCCAACTTCCTAAAAGTGCCTGTACTAGTTGGAGGTGAGCAAGGACAGCCACAGAGAAACCCTTCCCTAACTATCTTTACTACAGGCCTCTCTGAAAGCACTAAGCTCAACTTCTTGGCTCTATATGCTGAGGAATGTCAGGATGTGGAGTTAGGTTTCCAAAAAGTTTCTCCCCAATCTCCCATTGTACACTTGGACAAAGCATCTCTGAACTGAAGAAGAGGAATTCCAATTCATGCCTACCCTGTGACAGGACACAGCTCTACAGTGGAGAGCACATGTCTTGATGGGGTAAGGTTGCTAGATGAAGCTAAAGACAAATACAGAGAAAAACTTCATCAGAACTCAGGGCATAAACACTCCCTGGAGAATCTCCAGCCTAGGAGGGCCATCTCAGAACAGCTTCCAGGTAAATGCCTCCAAGGAAAGGGTTGGGAAAGTGAAGTTGAAGCAGTGATGCTCCAGGAACTTTTAGGAGACTTGGTTTGAATGCTGCACTATCTTTTGTCTTAGTAGACATTTTATCTGGATGGAAAGGTCATGATTCCATCCCCACAGACCCAGGGAAGTAAAATAAGGAGACTGGGCCAGATGATCACTAGAATCACAAGACTTTATGGCTGTTTGAACTCTACGGATCATGGACAATATTCCATAGTGGCTTCTACCATTAAGCAATGAGGGGACATATGCAAATGCATAGAACAGGCAAATTGGCATTTTATGCCCACAAGCAATAGAGAAGAGTATCCTCAAACTGGAACCCACGTGGAAACCAAGGCAATTTTAATATTTAGGAGTGGGATTGTCTATGGCCATACCACCCTGAACGTGCCCGATCTCGTCTGATCTCGGAAGCTAAGCAGAGTCCGGCCTGGTTAGTACTTGGATGGGAGTGGGGTTAACTCCTTGAGGCTGAAAATGGGGGAAAAAAGGAAATAACCTTCCTCTGATGCTAGGACCATGTTTATTTCAGGAATAAGACCAGCAGCAGTCACTTCCAGGAACCAGGAGGTATAGAATGGAGGTCCTGTTCAAGCCCACAGGTGTTCTCAGTGGGAAGAGAAAATAACAATTGGGATGTTACAATCGTCTCTTAATAAAGGTCATACATCACACCTAGAAATGGCAGAAGAGCTAGCAGAGATACAGAGAAGGTTAAGGCACCTGCCTTTAAAGGGCTATAAAGGAATCAATAAAATACAGTTATTCAAATGAGAGCTATGCACGGAGGCCCAGAAATATAGCCAGGAGACCCACTTCTCATCGCATCTCTGCCACTCACAAGCTGTGTGGTTTGGAAAAGGTTGCTTCACATTTTGGGTACCTCAGTCTCCTTGTGGTCACTAAAGAGATTGGCCAAACTGGCATTAGAGTCACCCTCTAACTGAGTAGTAGGCTTTTGATATCAGTGGGATTCCAACCCCAACTCACAATTTTGGACTGAACTTGTTATTATTTCCCGCTGTTGAGGCCGAAACCATTCAATACCTCTGAGTAAGGTGAATCTTAAAATGGCGTTGTCTCCTGGGGAAGAAGGGGGGGGGGGTGGTTGGTGAATTAAAATCCCTGACAAGATAAATCTGCGTAAGCAAGGGAACTGTTGATAACATTCCTTGGAGTACAGGATGTTAATGATAGACATTATCTAAATCTGAACCTCTATATTTGAGATCAGGGATCTGGGGTGGAGAGAGGAGAAGCAAGATGCTCAAGGTCCTTCAACACATACATAATGACTCTTCAGGCCAGAAACCCAAGTGTCCTGGCCCTTTAATTTAGGCACCCTATTGCCCTCTTCCAACTTTAGACACCAGAAAAGATTTGGGGATTTGCTTCCTTGGAGCTCAGCAACAGGAAATGAGCTAAAGGTTGGAAACTCTTTGGTTACCACTAAAGGGCATGTTTTTGCTCCTCTGAGTATCATTTGTCTGCTCATCTCCCTTTCCTTTCCCTGTTACTATTCCCCCACCCATTCCTCCACTCTCACTCAAATAAGCCCTTATTCCCACAAGGACACTTGGCTCCACATATTGAAAAGATTGTTGATTTCTGTCTACTGATGTGACACTTTACAAGGCAGAGACATGGATAATGAGCAATGTTAATTGACCATTAGGGCGAACCTAGCTAGGGAGGTAGGTGCTTTATTTCCTACTCAGGTGAGGACCCTCTCAGAGGGGCAGGAACTGGTCCAGAGTTGTTTCCCCCACCATTTAGGCAAGCTAGGGATGGGTTAAGTCTCAAGAGCCTCATTTATACTCCCCAAAGTGGGTGGGATGCTTGTTTGTGAGTGGGCTCAAGGAGGGGCAGGGTTAAGTATCAAGTAAAATGGACACAAGAACTGGGCAGAATTTAAGCTGAAGCCATGGAATGCTCAGCTCTTTCACAGGATAGTTTGATGCTGTCTTTAAGACTCCTATCTTACCTCCACATTTTGTTCTGAGGCTGATACTATTCCCAGACTCACCGACCTGTTCTCTTTGGTTCCCAGAATCTTCCACTACAGAAACATCTAGTCTTGCCCTCTCCAGGCATTGCTCTATTCACCCTCCTCCCTCTCTTCAAAACTCACTTTTGCTTAAGTACTGATCTCAATGCAGATAATAAGAAAGGAACTGAGTTTAACTACTCTGTGCTAGGAAAACATATATGTGTGTGTGTATTTTCAAACACATCTATTTATTTGTAAATATATTAATAATATAAAACATATGAATAATATATTAATAATGTATAATTAATAATATATTAATAATAAATATGTAAATCTCCTATAAACACACAGAGCAGAGATAATCTTATTAGCATTTTATTTCTGAATTTTTCTCATGCTCTCATAAAAATTATATATGCATAAATATACATATATATACTTACCACATTAAAATCATACCTTACATCCACTTTTTAATTTTTTCACCTAACACTAAAATAGATGCTTTTCAAATGGTAGGGTTTATGAAGATAGTTGGAGCAGGGGGCTTCTTAAATAGCAGTAAAGCAGGTCCCCACCTCCATTTATCCACCACACAGACCATGACCCATATCCCAAAGCTACTGGGAGGTACTGCCAGGGATTGGTACATGGGTAGAGACACCCTTTATGTGCCACTGATAGCCACAGATAAAATATACTTTAGTGCTTCTCTAAGAGTCAAGTTAATGAGATGCCCACCCTTCCAGAAGAGAATACCCTCTGTGAAGTCTGAAGTTGGTCCTTTGAACCCTTGCTTTCCCTTCACGAGTCTGATTTGCTGGAGAATGGCGCTGTAGGTCATGGACGTAAGTATAGAACTTACCTCCATTCAAAAGAGGATACTTGTGTATGGACTTAGGAGAAGGTTTTTTATCCTTAAATATCTTCCCCCTGTACTGGAAGTAAGAGCGGGCTGCCTTCCAGGAACAATATCTGTGAAAAGAATGGCTTCCGGTCATAAGGAGAAGGCTAGCAGCTGAGAAGGCTGGAGCATGGTGCACAGGGGAACCAGATCAGGGACAGTCCTCATAGAGAGTGGAGTGTACAACAGAGAAGGGAGAGACTTGGCCTTGGAGTGCTGCCTGTCAGAGCCCCTTCTTCTGAGGCATCCTCTGTGTCCAGGCCTGGCTCCAGTGAGGACCTGTCATTCACAGTATGCTGGGATTCCCTTCTGGAACCAGTAAATGGAGTCTGTAAAGAATCTATTGTATGTAGGTCTGAGGTGGGGTCAATCTCTGGGATGCTTGCTTGAGCATCGGACTATGAACCCTACCTGGTACAGCCAGAGTGTCTGACTGGCTCTCTTTCAGGTCCCAATCCGGTTTCACTCTGTCCCTTGCTGAAGGTCATGACCCTGTCACTGTATTCCTAGCAGCCCTTTCCCTGGAGTAGACCTCTGCTCTTCACATGAACTTGGACTCGTATATATACTGGAACCTGAGAACTATTGCTCCCTGGAATCCCTCACAATACTCTTCATCTCTTCCTTCCTGGCCCCTAACCCCTCGCTGTCCTTCAGCCTACCCTTGCAATGGACCCTTTAAAGGCCAGTCTTGGCTAAGACTGGATTTATTTTCTATTCCACCTTGGCTCTGATGGTTTTGACTACTGCCCTCCTTCCTTTCCTTAAGAGGCACTCTATTTGATCACAGTTGGTTTCTGCCATTCCACTTGCTGAAATGGGTCTCCCTCCCATCATGGAGCTCCCAGCGTGCCATGATGCATTCTTTATGGTACTTAAGAGACCAAGAGACCTGGTTTTACTAATTCTAAGTGATCCTAGGTGTTTCTCAATTCCTTTGAGCCTTGGTTTACTCATCTATAAAATAGGGATAATAACACTTTGTTCCACCCACCTCATATGTTATTGAGAAGTTAATCTGGGATAACATATGTGAATACAGTTTGTGCAATATAAACCTCTTTATATAGGAATATATAGTAAAGCAAGGAAAGAATCAGCTACATAAGGATTAGGGATTCAAAGCCTCCCTGAAGCATCCCTATATTTCTTAAATAGGTATGAGGGAGTGCAGAGCATTGACTCAAGCCAGAAGCAGCATGAATTCCCCAAGGGTTTCTGATTCTCCAGAATCAGGACAGATTTCTATTTAATCCTGCTTAGCAGAACTAAATCAAGTCTAGTCTTAGTGTTAGGTGACAGTTGGTGTTCAAAAGGCTAACCTGCTTATCATGAACTTTGTTTTTTAATTTCTTTCAATTCTGTATTAAATAATTTACCATAGGGATTTTAAAATAAAGGTTGAAGATTAGTATGCAAACTTTAAACTTATTTTATAATAAGGGAGTGTGTGTGTGTGTGTGTGAGAGAGAGAGAGAGAGAGAGAGAGAAATTCTTAAGATATGGAATCACGTAATAATCTAAACATCCCTATTAGCCTTGTCTTGGAACATTTCAGCAAGCTATCCTCTGGTCACTGTCACCCAGGGCACTGACATTCATTATGTGGAAGATATAGGCCAGAGCCACAGTGTACCACAGGAGTAAATAACCTGGGCCAGTGTCTCAACCCAAACCTTGACAGGATAGGTTAGAAACCAGTGGGTGGAAGGTTGCATATGTCCTGCAGATATCTTGTTTGTTTCATTTTTATTTTATGGCCTCAGAGTTTCCTCACCATGTTTTAGTTTTGAGTCAGTTGCCACATTTGCCACTTTAACTTTTGGAGATATGACATAGAAACCTAAATTTCTAAGCTCCTCTTGAAAATTGAAACATCTATCAATGGTGGCTCTAACAATAATTATGGTATTTGGGCATAACAGAGTAAAACTCTGCTGTCTTACTGCCTCAGTGGGTCTCCTTAAGCATAAAGGCAGTTGTGTGAATCTTGACAGAATTTCTCCCCAGATAACCATGGTTCATACTCATGCTTAAGTGAGGAAACTATGCCTAAGAAAATTAATACCCTTTCCCAAGCATGTAGGAGCTATGGGAACCAGGCACTCTTATCCCCAGTCATACTTGATCTTCCATCTTCTGATTCAGTTTCAGTGTGAGAGTAGCAAGTAGGGTAAGAAAACACTGTAGTTCCCATGAAAATGGAACCATGAAGTAGAGAGCTAGAGGAAGACAGAAAATTGTCTAGAAATTCAAATGTGTTTTCCTGCTCTCATGGTCTTTGGGCAAGGTGAAATAGTTACCTTTTCCAGAAGTACATAATGACAGGGAAGAGAGACATGATAGTCCCATGGAAGATGTTCCGGTCTAGGTGGCCCTCTGAAATGGCAGCAAGGATAGCATCCTTCTGGGATTCAGAGATGTTCACCTACCCATAGAGTGGGAACCTGTTACTGGCAGAACTCCAGGGAAGACAGAAAATCTCTCTTAACCTATAGGTACCCAATACCTATAAGACCACCCCGTCCCCAGAAAGCAGCAGGTTTTCCTGCAACTGCTAGGTACAGGACATCTGGTTGACTCAGGACTTGGGAGTGGCCTATTAGCTATCAATTCCTGTGGAAGAAATGCTTCTTGGGAAAAGCCCAGAGAGAAATGGGAGTCCCCTTTACCCTCAGCCTTGGAGGGATTTCAGAATTCAGGTAGAGCTTTAGGATGATATTAATTTTGGACCTCATTAGGATCACGTCATTCTCGTTATACGCCCGGTTGACTTGCAGCATGTGAGCTGAACTCACCAAATCATTAAATCTAAAAAGAAGCAGTAAGCAGGAAATCAGCAAGGAGAAGATAAAAGCAGCAACTAAATAGGGCAGCCAGCCCAGACCCATTTCTGGCCTAAAAAAGACAGGGCCAATCCTTGGCCAGGTTGCAGCTTCATCCATTCAATCATAATGCATCCATTGGCAGGTACTAACTGAGTATCTACCACCTGTCAGGTAATGTGCTAAGTGCTTCTTCAAGTGTATTTCTTTACTGCAAACTCCCTTATTTATCCCAACGTGCCTCCACCCTTGTCTCTGTACCAGTTTTGCCTCTGATGACTTCAAGAATGAAGGGCCATCTTTCTCTTTGTTTCCTTTTCTGTGCTGATGCTCTCACAATTACCACCACTCTCCAAAGCAACATATTCCCTTTCTTAATATTTTTATTATAGCAAAATATACCTAATGTAAAATTTACCAGTTTAACCATCTTTAAATGTACAGTTCAGTGGCATTAAGTACATTCACCCTGTTGTTCAACCATCAACACAATCCATCTCCAGAACTTTTTTCATCTTCCCCAACTGAAATTCTATGCCTGTTTAAATAAAAACTATCCATCTCTCCCTTGCCATAACCCCTGGCAACTACTTTCTGTCTCCTAGCAACATATCCTTTTACTAACCATCAAATATCTGTCAGTTATACCTTATCTTGATTTAAGTACACAGTTTATTTCTCTCAGGTTACTTAAATATATATATGTTTATTTATTTTGGTAAAGAGTGCAAGAAGAGTGCAGAGAGAGAGGGAGAGAGAGAACCCCACGCAGGCTCCTCACTGTAAGTGCAAAGCCCCATGTGGGTCTTGAACTCACAAACTGTGAGATCATGACCTGAGCTGAAATCAACAAGAGTCAGATGCTTAACAGACTAATCCACCCAGGTGTCCCTCTGTTAGATTACTTTAAATCTTAACCATTTAAAATTTTCCTAAGAGTAGAATACCAAGGTTTTCCCTTATTAGTTTGTTTTGTATATCCATTTATTTATTAGATCAGCAGACATTTATTAAGAGTTTACTCTGTGCCAGGTGCAGTTCCAAGAGCAGGGATTCAGCAGTATGGGAAATAAAACCCTGCTTTTCTTTTTAGTTGTGTAAATGCACTTCCTGCACCTATCATCCTACTTCTTAACTCTTATTTGTGTTTTATCTGCCATCCAGATTTGTTTGTGGGATCTTGGGAAATAGAGAGCATGTCTCAGTTGCCTTTTGTATCTCCAGTGCCAAATCCAGTGCCCAAGAATGAGTAAGAAATGATTAAGTATTCATGGAACTGAGCCAGATGCCTCACTGGGTGCAGTGGAAGATCTCTTAGCCTAATTCCCCTAACTAGTGTGCTGAGTTACCAGGTGCTCTGAACTTCTGGAAACACACTGACTGATACCTGTAAGGTGCCCACTATATACACTGGTCATACCTTCTGTAATATACTCTTCCATTTTTCCTATGAGATAAGGCAGATATATACTGAGAATTATTCATGTTTCTTCTCAAATATTTTTGCCTGTTGTACTTGTTGCTATAATTTGTAATCTATGAAAATTGATAAAACATGAACATAGAAAGAAAAGATGTTTGTTGTTTCTGTGAAAACAAATTTGAATGCATTGGAACATCCCACTAAAGACAAGCTGCTTTTTAAAAAGTTGCTATTGAGTTAGGTGTGACAAAGCAATTTAAAACATTGAGAAAACAAGTATAAACATCCAGAAAGATTAATTGCCTTGCAGTAGCCTTTAAATTCTCATTCCACTTTAAAGAGAGAAATTTTTGGGCTGTCTGGGTGGCTCAGTCGATTAAGCAACTGACTCTTGATTTCAGCTCAGGCTATGATCTCATGGTTCATAGGTTCAAGTCCCACATCAGGCTCTGCACTCTTAAGTGTAGGGCCTGCCTGGGATTCTCTCTCTCTCTCTCTCTCTCTTTCTCTCTCCCTTTCTCTGCTCCCTCCTGCTCATTTCTCTCTCTCAAAATAAATAAAATAAACTTAAAAAAAATAAAAATTAATAAAGAGAAAAATTAGAATGAGCAGATAGCATTCTGTATATAGTTTATGCAAGAAAAATATATGGATCTCTAATTAAAGGAATGGCTTTGGCTTTACATCAAAAGTTTGACCGGTAAGTGAAAGTATATAAGTATGATTTGACATAATAATAGCTGTTTAAGTATGAAGCTTCCTCACAAAACTAAAAATAGAATTATCATATGATCCAGCAATCCTATTACTGAGTATTACCCAAAGAATGTGAAAACACTAATTCAAAGAGATATATGCAGCCCTATGTTTACTGCAGCATTATTTATAATAGCCAAATTATGGAAGCAGCCCAAGTGTCCATTGAATGGATAAAGAAGTTGTGGTATATATACATAATGGGATATTATTCAGCCATAACAAGAATGAAATCTTGTCATTTGCAACAACATGGATGGAACTAGAGGGTATAATCCAAAGTGAAATAAATTAGTCAGAGAAAGGCAAATACCATATGATTTCACGCATATGTGGAATGTACGAAACAAAATAAACAAAGAAAAAAAGGGACAAACCAAGAAATGGACTCCTAACTATAGAGAATAAACTGATGGTCACCAGAGAAGACGTGCTGGGCAAATGGGTGAAACAGGTGATGGAGATTAAGAGTACACTTTTCATGATAAACACTGAATAATGAATATTCTTTAATCAATATATTTTAACCTGAAACTGATATAATACTGTATATTAACTCTCCTAGAATTAAACATTTTAAAAAACTAATCAATCAGAGGCAAGCAAAAACAATAATAATGATACACAATGAGTGAAGTAATATAGAGAAGATTGAGTGACCTGTATGTATGTATGTACAGGGGACTTCCAACTTATATCAATTTAAATACCACTTATGCATTATTTTAAAATTAGTTTAGAGTTTATAACACCGTTCTCAAAAAAAAACCCCACAACATTCTAAAATATAGACTTATAAGGCAATCAAGTCATTCTACTTTAGTCCATAAGGTATCTAATCACCATGTATGTAGTACATCATTTCTGTGTGGAAAATGTATTCCAAATTTCAAATCTATTCCAACAACATGCCTTCTCTGAGTAACAAAGATGTCCCCACTCATAAGGACAGAGAAGAAAGTGGAGGCTCTTATTCCTCTTACAGTCACTTGCAGGTCTGCAAATATTCAAGAGAAATTTTAAGTCAATTGTCTTTTGGAGGTGCTAGATCCATGTTCTAAACTATGCTGCACATCAGAATCACACGAGTAGCTTGTGAAAACACTAGTTCCCAGGCTCCACACTGGACCAGTGAAATCCAAATCTCAGTGACCTTGGCATTGGCAGTAATCATAGGCTCCAAGCAATCACAATGTGCACCAGGGTTGTGAACCACTGACTAACTCCTCTACCTCAGTATGACTGTTTTGCCAATTCAGGCCCTAGGCTCACAAATTGGAGAACTGTACACATGAGAACACATTTGGTTAAGAATATTTCTAAGTAGAAACCACATTGAACAACAGGTAAGAATAATGGGACCTAGACCAGAAAGATGTTTTGATTCACATAAATCACCAAAAGCAGTAAGGGAATGACCTCCAATTTGTTCCTACTACTTGCTTTTTTCATAAGATGGATGAATAAAGCAAGGAAGAAAAAGGCAAAGAGATATATATCTATATGTAGATATATAGATATCTGTTTAATTTCATTTACACACATACAAACACACACAAGTTTTATTATATTGTTGCTCTAAATAAAGAACTATTGGCCCTGTGGTGCTACGTAAGGGAACTTCTATCATAATAACAAATAATGGAAAAAAGTGTTCCACTTCCTGGGTATAAGTAAGTACATTTCAATATGGGCAACTCCAGAATACTGAAGAGCTTCGAGTACCCAAAGGGAAGAATGGCAGAAATAGACACAGTGACAGATTCACTGAGATTTTCAGTTGGAGATTCCTGCTTGTCAGGATTGAAATCACAGTGCCATTTATAGGCCACTCCAGTCTTTGCTGAATCGTACTAAGCATGGAAAGCCATGAGGAGGAGAGATGGGAAACTTACTTCTCCATTTCAGAAAAAAAATATAAATCATTGATTGCAAAGTTGACAATGATAATCCTGTGGCCAAATATACGACGCTTCACAAGGCTTATATCACCATTCTCAAGGTCTGTACTCCGGACATTTGTGGCATTTGTGGTTGGTCGTCCTGATACATTTGGTGATGTGGAGAGATCTGAGAGAGAAGGAGGAAGGAATTAAAATCTAATTGGATCAAGTCATTCATAAACTTGAAGCCTCTGACATGGGCATAACCAAAATGAAGAAAGGAAACTGGACCCATCTTTGGACTTGTTGAAACAGTGATTTCCTACCCTTTGCCTCAACCTTTTACTTTGACTTGAAGTACTGCTGAAAAAGCCATCTGCTCAGACGGTTTTACACCACACACAGACACACACACACACACACACACACACAACTGTGTACCAAAAGCACAAAAAAGTATGTTTTCCTGGTGCTTGTGTCATAGAAATATGATTGCACTGGAGTTATGCCAATCCCTAACATTTCTACAGAAAGTGGATATGCAGATGTGACCTTCAAAATGGAGTCTGTGATTCTGATAAGCTTATTCAAGGTTTATCAGGGAAGTAATTTAGAAGTAAACTGGGAAAGCGGCACAACACAAAAGCCAAACATCAAAAGTAAAGAAGATTATTTTAAAAACAGAGAGTAGGGCATTAAGGTAGAAAACAGACAGGAATGAATAAAGATGAACATAGAAGGGGCGCCTGGGTGGCTTAGTCGGTTAAGCGTCCGACTTTCGCTTAGGTCATGATCTCACAGTTCGTGGGTTCGAGCCCCGCGTTGNTTTCAGTCTGTGACTCCCTCTCTCTCTGACCCTCCCCTGCTCACACTGTCTCTCTCTCCTAGAAATAAATAAAACATTAAAAAAAAAAAAAAGATGAACGTAGAAGATTCTAGAAGGTTTGAATTGTGTCACCAAAAAAATGTCACTTATTTTAGAAAGTTTCTTGACTAGGGTATATGTAAAGAAGTTCATTCATAGGGATTTGGGGCTGTATTGGCAAGCAGACCCTAGTTAATTGTCCATCTGGGATTAAGAAAATTGTCTAGTCCAGCTCTAGGATTTACTATTTTTCCTGTAAAATGCATTATTCTGGATATCTGTTCAAAAATCATTGATGTGGGTGTGGTGGTTCCTATGACATAAGGGGGACTCCTTTTGGAGCAGTGTTACATATAAGATGGGAGGGTACCACAACATTCAATAAACAGCTAGCACTTGTTATATTCCAGACATTGTGTTAGGTCCTAGGGTTATAGCACCAAATAAAACAAAAAGCTCCTCTTTCCTACTTTATAATCTTTATCTTTTAGACTTGAGTTTGAAGGGGGAAAAAAGTCTGAAAAACAGGAAAGTTGGTATGATGGTCAAGGATTTTAAGAAATGAAGGTGCTAAATTCACTCAAGAAATCTGGGAGCAGTTATATACTTATAAACCAGCTCTGGTAAGGAAGGGGAAATCTGATTTGTAGTATTTGGTGATTTCTATAATAAATACTTCTATCATAGTTGATCTCAAGCTATTGATGGCTCACAAAATGCCCTGAATATTTAACAGTTGCCTTTCAATTGGGCTAAGATTGTTAATTTGGGTTATTATTTTTTTAAAAGCAAGACCTAACTCTATGCTGGCTACCAGAAGAGCACTTTATTTTTTTTAAGTGTTTTTAATGCTTATTTATTTTTGAGAGAGAGAGAGATAGAGGAGGGGCAGAGAGAAAGGGAGACACAAAACTTGAAGTGGGCTCCAAACTCCACACTATCCGTACAGAGCTGGACACAGGGCTTGAAGTCACGAGCCATGAGATCGTGACCTGAGCTGAAGTCAGATGCTTAACCAACTGACCCACCCAGATGCCCCCAAAAGAGCACTTTAAATATAGGGCATAAATAGGTTATAGATACAAGAATGGAAAAGATAATATGTGCTAACACTAATAAAAAAACTGGAGTGCCTATTTTAATATCAGACAAAGTAGATTTCAGAAAAAAAAGAGTATTACCAAGGATAAAGAAAGTGTTTTTTGTAATGATAAATGGGTCAATTGAAGGCCATAACAATCCCAGAAAAGGCTAAATGATAGTGATAGAAAGCAGACTAATGGCAGGTAGATCTCCCACTGAGCTACAGAAACACTCTTCTTGGGCTCTCTCATACAAACTAAGGATATGGGAAATTGAAGAACGGTGACATTGGACTTCCTACCATTCTGGGGCGTACAGGTTTGAACTAATTTTATTTAAAAGAAGAAACAAAAGAGCTGGAACTACTCCAAAATCCTAAATGTTTGTGAAGCAGTTCATAAAACATACATACAAAACCGTTTGCAAATTAGAAAATATAATATTAAAAAATTCCAATAGAAAAATAGAAAAAGAACATAAACAATTCAAAAAAGAATACAAAAGACCAATAAATCAAAGTGCTAATTACTAAAGAAACATACATAAGAATGGCACATTATTTTTCATTTACCAGATTGGCAGTTTTTAAAAAACAATGCATAGAGAAACTGCTCCACTGCTCTCCTGGCCCAGTCTCCAGCTGGGAAGCAGCCTGGCCTGTGGGATTACACTTTCGGCGGTATCTTTAAAAATTTTTTTTTAATGTTTTATTTATTTCCAGGAGAGAGAGAGAGACAGCGTGAGCAGGGGAGGGTCAGAGAGAGAGGGAGTCACAGACTGAAACAGACTCCAGGCTCCGAGCTGGCAGTCAGCACAGAGCCCGACGCGGGGCTCGAACCCACAAACCGCGAGATCATGACCTAAGCGAAAATCGGACGCTCAACCGACTAAGCCACCCAGGCGCCCCTTTCGGCGGTATCTTTAAAGCATGCAGACTAAGACCTGGAAACGAGGCCTGGCTTGGGACACAGAATACGGCCAACCTTGGCTACACCCACAGCACAGGGAGATCAGACCCAAAAGAGTGATTTGCAACACTTGGTTTGAGAAGGGACTGGGGCGCCACCATTTTTCTCCCCACAACCACCAAGGCGGGACCTCATAGAGCAGCCCACAGGACCTCAGTGGAGGCAACACCTGCCTAAAACAAACCATGCCCACCCCTGCTAGAGAGCTGCTTTTTCTTTTTTACCTAGCCCAGGGCAAGAGCAACATTGATGCATTGCTGTGATTACTTCTAGATCAATTCTTTCTATTCAGATATATTTTACCTTATCTCATTCTTATCCCTCCCTTCTCTTGGACTGGGCACACTGGTCATTGGTTTGCTTAAAGAGTCACATTTAATCCATCCTCTAGATGCATATTCTACACCTCCATCGTTACCTTCCTTTCTCTCTCTCTCTCTGGAATAATCAGACTATATAGTTTCTTTGGGTAACATTATCTTCGTTTCTTTCTCTTCACCACCCACAATATTCTCCTCTTTCTCTCTCTGAATTAAGCCTCTTAGTCTCTCTGTCTGGTCATTGTCCAATTTCACTTCCTCCCTGCCCCTGTCATTTCTCTCTTTGTATATGCTGTTCCATTAGCACTGCACACACCATGCTCTTTATTTGTAGCTGGGAATTCTGGTTTTATGCTTTTAAACTATTTTTGTCTTTTGGTTTCTCTTTCTTTTCTTTTCTTTTTTCTTTCTCTTTCGTTTACTTATTTGCTGGATTTGTCTGGGCGTTTGCGTGCCTTTGTTCCCTGTGTGTTTCTCTGTCTGTTTTCCTTTTCAGGGCTAGCTCAAGAAACAAACCGAAGTACACATGGTGGAGAGTCCCAAATATCAGTATGAGTAGGGGAATAAAATAAACAAAGTCTCAACAAGAGAAACCAAGAGACACCATTAAAAGAACACTTTCTGAAGAGACAGTCCCTGAACAGTCAATGAACCTTCTTTAACAGAGCAGTACTTGCAGGTGCAGAGCACATAACAAGCTTTTAAAACTGACAAGAGACAGAAAGCTAGTCAAAATGATTAAACAGAAGAACTCTCCTCTAAAGAAATTCCAGGAAGAAGTGATAGCTAAAGAACTGCTCAAAACAAATATAAGCAACATAACCAAACAAGAATTTAGAACAATAGTCATAAAATTAATCTCTGGGCTTGAAAAAGGCATAGAAGACATCAGAGAAACTATTGCTACAAAGACTATGGACCTTAAAAATAGTTGTGATGAATTTAAAAATGCTATAAATGAGGTACATAATAAAATGGAGGCATCCAAACCACGGACTGAAGAGGCAGAGAGGCGAATAGGTGAATTAGAAGACACAATTATAGAAAAAGAGGAAGCCGAGAAAAAGAGAGAAACTGATCCAGAAGCATGAAAGGAGAGTTCGAGAGCTGATTGATACAATCAAACGGAACAATATCCATATCATAGGAATTCCAGAAGAGGAAGAGGGAGAGAAAGACGCTGAAGGGGTACTTAAACAAATTATAGCTGAGAACTTCCCCAATCTGGGGAAGGAAACAGACATTGAAATCCAAGAGGCACAGAGAACTCCCCTCAGCCATAAATTGAATCGATCTTCTGCATGACATATGATAGTGAAACTGGCAACATATAAGGACAAAGAGAGAATTCTGAAAGCAGCTAAGGATAAAAGGGCCCTAACATACAAAAGGAGACCTATCAGAGTGTTGACAGACCTATTTACTGAACCTTGGCAGGCCAGAAAGGAATGGCAGGAAATCTTCAATGAACAGAAAAAAATATGCAGCCAGAATCCTCTATTCAGCAAGCCTGTCATTCAGAATAGAAGGAGAGATAAAGGTCTTCCCAAATAAACAAAAATGGAAAGAATTCATCACCACTAAACCAGCCCTATAAGAAATCCTAAGGGGGACTCTATGAGGGAAATGTTGCAAGGAACACTACTACAAGCAGGAATTCTACCGAGAACACAATGACTCTGAACCCATATTTTTCAATAATAACACTGAATGTAAATGGACTAAATGCTCCAATTAACGACATAGGGTAGCATAATGGATCAAAAAACAAATCCATCTATTTGCTATCTACAAGAGACTCATTTTAGACCTGAGGACACCTTCAGATTGAAAGTGAGGGGATGAAGAAATGTCTATGATGCTACTGGAAGTCTAAAGAAATATGGAGTAGCCATACTTATATCAGACAAACTGGACTTTAAAGTAAAGGCAGTAACAAGGGATGAAGAAGGGCATTATATAATAATTACAGGGTCTATTCATCAGGAAGAGCTAACAATTATGCATGTCTATGCACCAAATTTGGAAGCACCCAAATACAGAAAACAATCACAAACAGAAACAATCTTATGGATAAGAATGTGCTGATAGCAGGGGACTTTAATATTCCACTTACAGCAAATAGATCGATCAACTAGACAGAAAAATCACTAAAGAAACAATGGACTTGAATGACACATTGGACCAGATGGATTTGAGAGATATATTTAGAACTCTACATCCTGAGGCCATGGAATTCACTTTCTTCTCAAGTGCACATGGCACATTCTCCAAGATAGATCACATACTAAGTGATAAAGCAGTCCTCAATAAATATGAAAGAACTGAGATCATACCATGCACACTTTCAGATCAAAAAGCTATGAAACTTGAAATCAACCACAGGAAAAAGTCTGGAAAACCTCCAAAAAGATGAAGGTTAAAGAGCACCTTACTAAAGAATGAATGGGCCTATCAGGCAATTAGAGAAGAAATTAAAAATATATGGAAACAAATGAAAATGAAAATACAACAATCCAAACTCTTTGGGATGCAGCAAAGGCAGGTCTAAGAAGAAAGTACATTGCACTCCAGGCCTATTTCAAGAAACTAGAAAAATGCAAATACAAAATCTAACAGCACACCTAAAGGAACTAGAAGCAGAGCAACAAGAGCACCCCAAGCCCAGCAGAAGAACACAAATAATAAAAATCAGGGCAGAAATAAACAATATAGAATTCAAAAAAACAGTTGGACAGATCAATGAAAACAAGACTTGGTTTTTTGAAAAAAGAAACAAAATTGATAAACCTCTAGCCAAGCTTCTCAAAAGAAAAGAGAGAGCACTCAAATAGACAAAATCATGAATGAAAATGGATTTATTACAATGAACCCCTCAGAAATACAAGCAACTATCAGGGAATACTATGAAAATTTATATGCCAACAAATGAGACAACTTAGAAGAAATGGACAAATTCCTAAACACGCATGCACTATCAAAATTCAAACAGGAAGAGATAGAAAATCTGAACAGACCCATAACTAGTGAAGAAATTGAATCAGTTATCAAAAATCTCCCAACAAATAAGAGCCCTGGGCCAGATGACTTCCCTGGAGAATTCCACCAGACATTTAAATCAGAGTTAATTCCCATTCTTCTCAAGCTATTCCAAACAATAGAAATGGAAGGAAAACTTCTAGACTCATTCTATGAAGCCAGCATCGCTTTGATTCCCAAACCAGAGACTCAGCAAAAACAGAAGTAAAGGCCAATATCCTTGATGAATATGGATGCAAAAATCCTCAAAAAGATACTTCCAAATCAAATTCAACAGCATATAAAAGAATTATCCACCATGATCAAGTGGGATTCATTCCTGGGTTAAAGGGCTGGTTCAATATTCATAAATCAATCAATGTGATACATCACATTAAAGAAAGAAAAGATAAAAACCACATGATCCTGTCAATAGATGCAGAAAAAGCATTTGACAAAATACAGCATCCCTTCTTAATAAAGACTCTAGAGAAAGTCGGGATAGAAGGAACTTACTCAAACATCATAAAAGCCATCTATGAGAAGCCCATAGCTAATATCATCCTTAATGGGGAAACACTGAGAGCTCTCCCCCTGAGATCAGGAACACGACAGGAATGTCCACTCTCACCACTGTTGTTTAACATAGTGCTGGAAGTCCTAGCATCAGCCATCAGACGACAAAAGGAAATAAACAGCATCAAAATTGGCAAAGAAGAAGTCAAACTTTCACTTTTCGCAGATGACATGATACTCTACATAGAAAACTCGACAGACTCCACCAGAAGCCTATTAGAACTGATCCATGAATTCAGCAAAGTCGCAGGGTACAAAATCAACATACAGAAATTGGTTGCATTTTTATACACCAATAATGAACCAACAGAAAGAGAAATCAAGAAACTGATCCCATTCACCATTGCACAAAAAAACCATAAAGTACCTAGGAATAAACCTAACCAAAGATATAGGAGATCTGTATGATGAAAACTATAGAAAACTTATGAAGGAAATTGAAGGAGACACAAAGAATGGAAAAACATTCCATGCTCATGGATAGGAAGAATAAATATTGTTAAAAATTAACTACTACCGAAAGCAATCTACACATTCAATGCAATCCCAATCAAAATTGTACCAGCATTCTTCCCAAAACTACAACAAACTATCCTAAAATATGTATGGAACCACAAAAGACCCCAAATAGCCAAAGTAATATTGAAGAAGAAAACCAAAGTGGGAGGCATCACAACCCTAGACTTTAGCCTCTACTACCAAGCTGTCATCATCAAGACAGTATGGTATTGGCACGAAAACAGACACATCGACCAATGGAATAGCATAGAGAACCCAGAATTGGACCCACAATTGTATGGCCAATTAATCTTTGACAAAGCAGGAAAGAGTATCCAATGGAAAAAAGATTGCCTCTTTAACAGATGGTGCTGGGAGAACTGGACAGCAACATGCAGAAGAATGAAACTAGACCACTTTCTTACAGCATCCACAAAATAAACTCAAAATGGATGAAAGACCTGAATGTGAGACAGGAAACCATCAAAACCCTAGAGAAGAAAACAGAAAAAAACCCTCTTTGACCTCAGCTGCAGCAATTTCTTACTCAACACATCCCCAAAGGCAAGGGAATCAAGAGCAAAAATGAACTATTGGGACTTCATCAAGATAAAGAAAAAGCTTCTGCACTGCAAAGGAAACAACCAACAAAAAACTAAAAGGCAACCGAGGTAATGGAAAAAGATAGTCACAAATGACATCAGATAAAGGGCGAGTATCTAAAATCCGTAAAGAACTCACCAAATTCCACACCTGAAAAACAAATATTTCAGTAAAGAAATGGGCAGAAGACATGAATAGAGACTTCTCTAAAGAAGACATCCAGATGGCCAACAGACACATGAAATGACGTTCAACGTCACTCATCATCAGGGAAATACAAATCAAAACCACACTGAGATACCACCTCACACTGGTCAGAGTGATTAAAATGAACAAATCAGGAGACTATAGATGCTGGTGAGGATGTGGAGAAACAGGGATTCTCTTGCACTGTTGGTGCGAGTGTAAACTGGTGCAACCACTCTGGAAAACAATGTGGAAGTTTCTCAAAAAATTAAAAATAGAACTACCCTATGACCCAGCAATAGCACTGCTAGGAATTTATCCAAGGGATACAGGAGTGCTGATGCATAGGGGCACATGTGCCCCAATGTTCATAGCAGCGCTTTCAACAATAGCCAAATTATGGAAAGAGCCTAAATGTCCATCAACTGATGAATGGATAAAGAAAATGTGGTTTATTTATACAATGGAATACTACTTGGCAATGAGAAGGAATGAAATTAGGCCATTTGCAGCAACGTGGATCGAACTGAAGGGTATTATGCCACGTGAAATAAGTCAGTCAGAGGAAGACAGATACCATATGTTTTCACTCAGATGTGGATCTTGAGAAACTTAACAGAAGACCATGGGGGAGGGGAAGGGGAAAAAAAGTTATAGAGAGGGATGGAGACAAACCATAAAAGACTCTTAAATACTCAGAACAAACTGAGGGTTGATGAGGGGTGGGAGAGAGGGAAAAATGGGTGATGGGCATTTAGGAGGGCACTTGTTGGGATGAACACTGGTTGTTTTATGGAAACCAATTTGACAATAAAATATATTTTTTAAAAAGACTGTAAATGTCATGAGAACATATGCTGCATGTTTACTACTGTATCCCCAGCATCTGGCAAAGTTCCTGCTCCATAGTGGATTCTCAAAAAGTGTTGAATGAATGAATGAAATAATAAATATAGTAGTGGAATAAATCTATACTATGGACAAATCGTTTTGTAAAATATAAGATCTTGCTATGCTTTAGCAAGACTAGTCATTCTCCACCATTGATGGCTCTGTAGGCAGAAGCCACCGGACTCACATCCTTTGTAAGCAGAGGTGACCTTGGCTTTGTACCCAGGACCTGGAGTTCTTGCTAGACCCAAAGCTAACACAGGCATGACACAAACAGCCCTGCAGCTTCTTATCTGGGCTAACCCCTGGGTCTGGAATGTCAACAGGAAAGGCAGTAAATAAAGAAGTGACTTACTTTCCTTGCTACTTTGTACTTCTAGGTGAAGATATTCTTCAAATGCTTGGCGATTAGTGGGATTAGACATAAATCTGCGGTACTTGCAAAAGCTCTTAATAAAGCTAATCATTTTCAGCCAGCCTTTCTTCTGAAAAGAGAGAGGTATGCCACATTCGTCAGTATAGCTTCTGTTCAGTGAAAGCCTACTATGCCAGAAACTTGACATTCATTACATTTAATCCTCACAATACCTCCTTTTACAGGAAATAATCTTTAGCTCCAATTTAAAGATGAGGAAATTCAGGTCAGAGAATTATAAGCCTTCCCTAAATTAAGTGGATAATGGGTAGAAGATTCTGTCTTTACTTAGGCATGGGGCCACTGGCAATGCTCATTCTACCACCATTTTTCTATGGTAAGACTTAAGATGCCATGATTAGGAGAGAGAGTGTGAGAGCTAAGAACAGGAAGAAAACAGGAGTCAGAGATAAGTAAAACTCACAAGAAGAGAATAATGGCTTGGGCAGATTTGAAGTGCTGAAGTAATAAGGAAATGAGTAAAACCATTTCTAATCATTAAAAAGAAAAAATATATAATTACACGCACACACACACACACAAATGTATTTTATAAATTCCTCATCTGTTTTATAATACCCAGTGACCATTCTGTAATTCATTTGCCCCTTGACAAATTGATATTTAGAGCCAGAAAGGATCTTATTGATCAACTAGTTCAGTTGTCTCATTCAACAAAGTGGGCTCCTCAATGTAAGGATGACTTTAGAGAGCTGGTAGTGAAATGCAAAAATCGCTGGATTCGAGATCAGAAACTTTGAGTCTGGAGCCTAGCTTCTCCATAATTGTGTAATTTGGGTCAACTCAATTTGTCTCAATATCGCCATGTGTAAGATAGAAACAACAGCCTTCAGGGTTGTGGTGAGGGCTAGTGATTATACATGTAAACTCCAATGCAGTGTTTGGCACAAAATAGGCACTAAGTCCATGTTGGTTTCTTTTTATCTTTTCTTATCTAAGAGCAGCTGTAAGACTTGAAATTAAAATGAAGTCTGCTGGCTCTGGGTGCAATATTCTTTTTAATGTCCTACATGATCATTCATGGTATCCTGACATAGAGTTGACTCATGTATGGAAGAAATAAAGAGGAGAAAGGAAGGAGCCGAAGTGTTCATATCTGGAGTATAGGATCAATGGGCATAGATGCCCATTGCCTATGCCTACTTTCAGAAATATCATAATTTTTGGAGTCAGATGGAGCTGGGCTCAAATTTTTCTGATACTAATCAACTCTATAATACATCGAGCAAGTGATTATTTAAAGGAAACATATTTTTTCTCAGATCGTATGAAGAGACTTTCCTGAATAACATTCCTGTCTGGGGGAGCATGTGTCTTAGTGGAGGGGGTCTGAAGTACAATGGGATTTACTGAGAAACTTCTTTGTAAAAAACTGTATTATTGTCATTTCCTTACAAAACTATATTTTGGAAAATTATATACTGTCAATTAAAGTGCTTTTCTATAAGCTGGAAAAAAAATTCCTGTCTCCTCTTTCTTCCCTTTTCCTTTCCTCCCACAGAGGAGAATGGGTTAAACATTTGATACGTTTGGAAGGAGAAAATAGACATGTTTTGCTGTCAGCCTTCTGCATTCACTCTCTGGGAGTTGCTTGTTTGCAGGATACCTGTGTTTAGGCCTGCCTTTGTCATTCATAAGGGGTTCACTCAGGTAAATGCAGGCTTAAGTTATTCTGTCAGGGAGCTGGACCTGTAACTAAGTTTAAGTTGGGTGCAATTTGGGATTATTAAACCCATTTGGCTTCACGGTCAACCCATGTCCTTCAAACTAGCTTTCAGCCATAAAAACACTTACATTTGGGGGGGAGGGGGCTGGGTGGTCCAGTCAGTTTAGCCTCTGACTCTTGGCTTCTGCTTAGGTCATGATCTCACAGTTTGAGCCCCAGCATGGAGGCTTTTGGGATTCTCTCTCTCTCTCTCTCTCTCTCTCTCTCTCTCCCTCCCCCTTCCTTCTTCTTCTCCTCCTCCTCCTCCTTCTTCTCTCTCTCTCTCAAAATAAATAAATAAACTTTAAAAAGTTTTTTAAAAACACCGACATTTTGATCTCCACATATTTGACCCTTAAGTCTATCACTCCATTGGTTCTAGTCACAGAGTGAAAACAGGGATTTTCTTAAATTCCCAATGTAATAATTTCTCTGGGCCTCAGAATTTCTTTGTATAATGTGAATTAAGAAACCTCTCCAAAAGAGTGGTTGTTTTGGTGAATAAATAAGCTAACAATGAAACTGTTTTGCATGGTTGACAATGCCTAAGCAGTGCTTTTCTTGTCCCCAATGTCTTATCTTCACTGTCTTCCTCACTGACCTGAGATTCCTGTAGGAAAGTTGTTGTCTTTGAGGGCTTCTTAGAAGTTTGCACTTCAATATGCCCTTCCTGGGGGTAAGGTGGGAACAGCTCTTGGTAATCTTTAAACCTGTCAAAAGGAGACCAAGGACATCAAAGAAGGAAAACACCTGGTACATAAAAGGTAACAGTGAAGGCAAATCTATCTCAGCTTTTGGAGGAAGTTGAGAAAATGGGAATTGAGGAATGATGAGACATTTACAAATATTCTTCTTACAATTTCAATCCTTTGCTAATGGTAACCTATCCTTCCTAGTCAGTACTATACTAAATGACCTCAAGTGTGTGTGTGCACATGCATATGCATAGGTAGGTAAGTAGAGGATTCAAGATAAATTTGACTTTTCTCTTGTAGGGAAGCTCTGGCAGTGAACTTTTGGCATTTGAGATTATTTGAGTACTACAGCGTTCAGAAGCCAATGAGCAGGTCCAGAAAGAACCTTGGCCTTCACTGATCAATACTCACCACTTTTCTTCCAGAGATTTCATGACATAGCTCTGTATCATTAATAATGTAGCAGTGCTGATATGACCCATGTGAGAGATTTCTTGGATAATAGGGGCATCACACTGCAGCATTTCTTCTAAAAAATACAAGAGAGAAAAAGTCCTCATCTTCTTGTCTACCATTTCTGAGGTAGCCAGTGTGTTTTTCCTCTTAGAGTCTGTCTCTTATTCTCAATCTGGTTAGACTCTGAACTCTCCACAATTTGTCTGAAAATCTCAAAAGCAGGGTTGCAGAGCCAATACAGCCCTGGTTTACTTCCATTCAAATTACTAAGATGAGTGCTTAAGGGGAGAGAAATATTTAAAGGACTCATCTCTGCAGCTAATTTAAAGTTTTTGGTTTAGGAAGAGAGCAGAGCAGTAAAGGATTAATGTTAAACTACAGGGATAAATGGGGAATCCAAGATTACAAATAAGTGTCATGAGGGCAATGTAATTCTCCAGGTGTTCAGAGACTATTTTGTTCATGAAAACTTATCAAGGACAAGATCTACATACTTCTCTTTGTCTTCTTCCTGAGACTCAACAAATAAATGTTTCTTACAAGTAAAGATTTGCCAGTTTTACCTCTCTTTTTACTTTCATAAAATTTCTAACCTGATCTAGGTTACCACAAGTAAGCGCACGTACACACACACACACACACACACACACACACACACACACACACACATTCATTTGTGCCAAAATAAAAGGCTTTACCTTCATTGTTTTGCTATGGATTTGTTTACTTTGAGGATGGAATTATGCTCACCTCTTTTTTTCCTCTAGAATTATAGGGCCAATACTTTACAACTTTTTTTACAACAATACTTTTACAACTTTCATTTCTGGCATGGGTCAAATTGTCCTACCTCCATAGGCAAGAAAACAAAACTTATGAAACAAAAGATTTTCAGGGAGACAGTTTTCTCCTCCCCAGTAAAACTCTGTCTACAACACATAACTGGCGAGAACTCCAATTTTACATGTAGCTAACTCTTGCTCTTGTATCTAATTTCTGTCTAGTGGATTTAAGGGTCAGATAACTTGAGTTTGAATTCAAGTTCTCTGTGTTTCATATTCCTTATTAGTAAAATGGAGCTATTCATTCCTAACTTATAGAGATTAAACAAGAGCCTATTTTCAGTGTTGAATACAGTTAAATGAGAGGATACATTTCACATATAAGCACAAGTGTCTTACACTTGGCTCCTCATACTAGGATTATACTTTAGACTGATTAGTGTTGCTCTCTGCTTTTACTGTCCTTTTTAATCTTTGTCCCAATTCTGCTTGTGTGGCCATTGCTTTGTCCTGCTCTTTCAGGGGACTCACATGAGACAGGTTTTGTGTCAAACTCTTTTCCTAAAATACTACAGGGAAAAGGAAACAGTATCAAGAAAGAGGATGCATACCAGCAGGGACTTTGCCATGGAAGAAAGTCTTGATTATATTTTCAAACAGAAACTTGTACATCTTTTCATTTGTCTCAATACTGATCTTATGGATGGCCATCAGGAATTTCAAGGGGCTATCAGCTTTCCGTTCTTTGAGGAACTCCTTGAAGAATTCCAAGTGGCCTGTATTTAGGAGGACTTCTGTCAAGTTTCTGGAAAATAAGAAAGCATCGTTGGTGAAGAGAAAGGAATGATGACCCTGGATTCTGCTTCAAGTATGGAACGGGGAAGGGCATCTCCCAGATTGTGGGGCCTTTAGCCGTGTGTAAAAAATAGGGTGAAAAAATTGGTTACTATTTCCTTAGAGATAACTTTAAAATTTTATATGCACATGTGCCCCAGTGTTTATAGCAGTGCTTTCAACAATAGCCAAATTATGGAAAGAGCCTAAATGTTGATCAACTGATGAATGGATAAAGAAGATGTGGTTTATATATATAATAGAATACTACCTGGTAATGAGAAAGAATGAAATCCTGCCAATTGAACTGGAGGGTATTATGCTAAGTGAAAGAAGTCAGAGAAAGACAGATATGTTTTCTCTCATATATGGAACTTGAGAAACTTAACAAAAGACCATGGCGGAAGGGTAGGGGGGGAAATAGTTACAATAGAGAAGTAGGGAGGCAAACCATAAGAGACTCTTAAATACAGAGAACAAGCTGAGGGTTGATGGGGGGGTGGGTGTCAGGGAGAGGGAAAAATGGGTGATGGGCATGGAGGAGGGCACTTGTTGGGATAAGCACTGGTGTTGTATGTAAGTGATGAATCACAGGAATCTCCCCAAAACCAAGAGCACACTGTATACACTGTATAGCCAGTTTGACAATAAATTATATTTTAAAAAGAGTAAAATAAAATATAAATGTAGCTTCTACTTCTGTTTAAAAAATAAAATAAAATTTTATATATCCACCCTAAGCTCGGTCCAATCATCTGATAACCCTAATGCAGGACGAGGAGAGGTATTTTAAAGGATATAATTTTTTTCAAGGAAATCTTCTTTTTACATCATACATTTAAAGCAACTCCTAACTGACAGTCATTTCAGTGAGGCAGAGATGAGTGATCAGTTGTTATTGATCAATATGTCTAAATGTCTTTTGCTGACTTATTCTTTCACATTTTCTTAAATATAGGTGCCCCTGATGTTTAATCCTCAAACGTTTTTACTTTTGCCTTATGACTCCCCCGCCCCCCGCCCCCCGCCCCTCATAATGTCTGCATCCTCGGGGTTTCAGTTTTCATTGATATGAGGAAGTGGTTTCATTTCACTTCGATTTTCACTGATACCATATCCCACTTCAAAATTTCAGCTGCCCTTTGAACCTCGTCTTTGTCATAGTTAATATTTAATAATAATATACACACACCACATGTTGTTCAACTTATTTTTCCTCCTTTATATACCTATTTCTTTAACTATGATGTTAGCTCTCAGGGGTTTTTTTAATAGATGATCTTTATTCATAAAAGAGAGTATGCTTCTATTTTAAGTTTTGAGATGGATTTTTTATGAATGGGTGATGGATTTTTTAAATGCTTTTCATGCATCAATTGATATAATCATGTGGAGTATCCCGCCTATTTTATTAATATGGCATATTAATTGATTTTTGGATGTTAAAAAGCAACTGTGCATTTGTAGGATAAATCTCACTTGATCATGCTTTGTAATATTTTCTATATCTTGCTGGATTTGGTTGGCTAATATTTTGTTGAGGATTTTTATATCTATATTTGAGAGGGATATCGGTGTGTAATTTTCATTTCTTATGATATCTTTGTTTGGCTTTGGGATCAGGATAATATTTTTTGGTCTCATAGAATAATTTAGCAAGTGTTCCTTTTTCCTCTATTTTCTTAAAGACTTCATGGACTATTGGTATTATTTGTCTTAACTATTGCATAGATTTCTCCAATGAAGCCATCTGTACCTAGACTTTTCTCTGTGAGAAAATTTTAAGCTACTAATTTAATTTCTTCTCTTGTTACAGATTTACTCACATTTTCTACTGCTTAAGTCAGTTTCAGAAATTTGGGTATTTCTAGGAATTTATTAAATTCACCTAAGTTGTCTAATTTGTTCCTTGAATTTCTTTAAAATCTTATGTTGTCTTTCAATCCAGACTTTGGTTATCTGTGTCATTTCACTTTTCCCCTTTGGCCGGTATAGCTAATGTTTTATCATTTTTTTTTATCTTTACAAAATATCTACTTGTGCTTCAATTTCCTCTATTTTTCTCTATATTTTGTTGATATTTATTATTTATGTCCTCGACTTCCCTTGAGTTTAGTTTGAATATATCATCCCAACTTTGGTCTCCATTGTTTCTGATATGAAGTAAATTTTAATCTTGTTGTAGTTCCCTTGAATATGTCATTTTTCTCTTGTAGCATTTAAGACTTTTCTCTTTGCCTTTCAAAATTTGACTATGATGTGTCTAAATGTGGATCCTTTGAGTTTATCCTACTTGGCATTCATAAAGCTCTTCGCACATCTTAATTGTGGCTTTAATAAAATTTGGAAAGTATTCAACAGTTATATATTCAAAAACTTTTCTGCCCCCTTTTCTCTCCTTCCTCTTCTGGGATTTTCATTATTTGTGTGTTGGTGTGCTTAGTAGCATCTCTTAAGTCTGTGAGGTTCTGTTTGTTTCTTTATTCTTTTTTCTTCAGACTGGGTAATGTCTATTGAGCTACTTTGAATTTCACTGATTCTTTTGCCAACTTCAAACTGCTGTTGATTCTCTCTAGTGAATTTTTCATTTCAGTTATTGTACCTATCAACTCCAGATATTTTTAATTAATTAATTTTTTAATTTAAATCCAAGTTAGTTAACATGTGGTATAGTAATTCTTTCGGGAATAGAATTTAGTGATTCATCACTTACATATAACATCCAGTGCACATCCCAACAAGTGCCATCCTTAATGTCCACTGACCATTTAGTCCATCCCCCCACCCAACACTTAACCAGCAACCCTCAGTTTATTCTCTATATTTAAGAGTCTCTTATAGTTTGTCTCCCTCTGTTTTTTATCTTATTTTTGCTTCCCTTCCCCTATGTTCATCTGTTTTGTTTATTAAATGTCACATATGTCAACGACAGATTTTTATTTGTTCTATTTTATAATTCTGATCTTATTAATATTTTCTATTTGATGAATCATTGTCATCATATTTTCCTTTTAATTCTTTAAGTATGGTTTCCTTTACTTCATTAAACATATTGCTGACAAGTCTTTGATAATTCCAACATCTAAATAACTTCAGAGACAGCTTCTATTGCTTGCTTTTTTCCTTCTGTGTATCAGTCATACTTTCCTGAGTGCTTTTTATTTTGGTGAGGGGAGGGGTATTCTCATAATTTGTTGTTGTTGTTCTTTAAAGTTGAAATTTAACATAAAATAATAATTTACAGAGTTCTGAAATTTTTTGACAGGTTTGTTCAGTGTCAACATTACTTTTTTTTTTCTGAGAGAGAGAGAGAGAGAGCAGGAGAGAGGGGTAGAGGGAGAAAGAGAATCTTAAGATCCAATGCAGGGCTGGATCTCATGACTGTGAGATCATGGCCTGACCCAAAATCAAAAGTCAAAAACTTAACCAACTGAGCACCCAGGTGCCCCTTTATCATTGCTTTTATGGGGAGACAATTTGTGATGTTCTTCCTCTACCATTCTAGAAGTCTGATTCTTCCTCTTCAGTGGTTTTAAAATCTATATCTTCCCTTCCATTTCTACTCCAACTGTTTAACTCAAGGATTTTTAGATGTTTATTTATTTTTGAGAGCAGGAGAGAGAGAGAGAGAGAGAGAGAGAGAGAGTGCAAGAGTGAGAAGAGCAGAGACAGAGGGAGGATTCAAAGCAGGCTCTGAGCTGTCAGTACAGAGCCCAACATGGGGTTTAAACACACGAACTGTGAGATTGTGAACTGAGCCAAAGTCAGATCTTAAGCAACTGAGCCACCAGACACCCCTAATTCAAGCTTTTAATATCACTTGTATGAACAACTACAGCAACCTTCTAGCTATTATTTATGTCTTCAGTCTCTGATGCTCTGAATCCTCATATATCATTACTATTTCTGCCAGGGTAATGTTTACTAAATCCATATAATAGGTATTTCTGGTACTCTTTTCAAACAAACCTCAAGAAATTCTCATTTCTAGTTAATCAATAGAAACTCCTTAATGATTTTTTCAAGACTTTATTTATGTTATTTGGTCTCAATCTGGCTTTCTAATATTATGCTTTATGTCCCTTCACCCCATGCATTGTATGCTTTAACACTACTGGACTATTTTCAAGTTTTTAAATACTTCTGTATTTTTAGTTTATATGTTTGTGTCATTTCTTTAGCTTGGAAGGCTTAGCCCTACCCTCAAAATACTCTCATTTCTTTGCATATGCACATGAAATTGTACATGTAGTTTGGAATCTCTTCTGATAATTTAACTTTCCTAATCCTCACTCAAAATTTCCTTCTATTTCCTATACCCTTATAGTAATTATCCAATATTTTATTATAAAATTTTAAGGTCAGCCTTATAAATGCAAGGAATATATTTCATTTTTGTAACATTAGTGTCTATGACACAATATATGTTCAGTAACTGCTTATTGCATTGAATGAGGGCTAGGGACAAGGTTAAAGAGAAATGCAACTGCAGTATCCATGGGGCATTCTGTTTTGGTCTTAACTGAAAACATGAAACCGGACTGTAACACTTCTCTGATACTTAACTAAGTTGGAGAATAGGTATTTCTGTAGACACAGTGGAAAGTGGTGCAGATTCGAACAACAATAGAAATAAATGATTAATGGTCAGAGAACAATTTCAGTTCCTTTAAGGGAAGGAAGATCTATCTAGAGTAGTTAGAAGAGAGAGAGGACTTATCACCCTCAATGAATGTTATCAGTAACTGAAAGCATACTTTGGAAAGTTTTCTCTATGCAAAATATTCTCTCAGTGACTTTGACTACCAAATCTATATGTGTTACTATATCTTCATCTTCTTTAAGAACTTTCCATATACCTAGTCACTAATAGGTAATCATTGAATAAACAATAAATAATGGAATAAATGGCATGGCCTACAAGAAAATCATAGTCAAGTTGAAAAAATAGAAAATATACCTAAAAACTAAAGAGCAGTAAAAAGTAGCACATGGTAAGTGATTTGTGTTGTATTTTAGGGATTTTGTGCTCAGAGAAGAGGGAAGTCATAGCGACATACATCTGAGGAACTTTTTATGTAGAAGTGGCACTGGTGCTAAGGTAAGTAGAAAGAAGTGGACACTTCTGAAAAAAAGGCCACAGAGCTTTTTTCTAGAAGTGAGACCTTAATAAGGTTTAATCTAGGACTGATTATAAGGGGGAGAGACATGAAATAAGGGACCAGTTAGGAGGTTACTACAATAGTACACAATACAGAAAAACAAATAAGCAAGAATATATGTACAAAGATGTTTATTGTGGCACGATTTATAGCAGTGAAAAATTAAAAATAATATAATGTCCATTAAAAAGTTTATAAAAATGTCCATAAAAAACATGTATACTATACTATGTTACATCTATACTATGAAAGGAAGTAGAACTATACATACTGACATGAAATGTTATCCATGATAGTTTTTTAAGTTAAAAAAATGTTATTTTATAATATATATTGCATGGTGTCAATTTTTGAAAATAAATAATTGGTTTAAAATACAAAATGTGGGGGTGCCTAGGTGGCTCAGTCAGTTAAGTGCCCAACTTTTGGTTTCGGCTCAGGTCATGATCCCTGCATTGTGAGATCAAGCTCCACATCAGGCTCAGTGCTGATAGCATGGAGCCTGCTTGAGACTGACTCTCTCTCTCTCTCTCTCTCTCTTTGCCCCTCCACTGCTCTCTCTCTCTCTCTCAAAATAAATACATACATACATACATACATACATACATACTGTGTGTATGTTTATGATATATGAGAAAACGTTTTTTAAAAACCCATATACAGAAGGATAAGTTCAGCATTAGACATGTTGAGATTAAAGAGGGCTTGTGTCTGGAGAATATTGCTGTAGCCAGACCCTATGTCTTACCTGGGTCTTAAGGAGGGCTTCCTCACACCAGTCTTTTTGTAAAAGGACATTTTCCTAGGTGAGGGTGGAACCACTTTTGGTTCTCTGATAATTTTCACAGTAAAATCTAATGAAAAATCACAAAGTTAGGGAATGCCATGTTATAAGAACATTTCAAGACTAAGAAGGGACAAATGAAAAGGATATTCATCAGACATTGAGTGCATGTGGAAAAATCACAGTCCCCACAACTGCCAACAACTCAGGCCATTACTGCTGAAAAGAAACTTAGAGATGATTTTATTCCTGACTTCAGTCCAGACTGTGTTATCTAAGTCTGCTGGACATTAGACCAAGAACCCACCTTCATCAGAAGACTGCTGAGACCAAGTCTATTTTCTTATTTCAACACCAAGTGTCATCTAACATTCCCCCAGTCACCCATTTTGACTGGACCATACTCCACATGACATTCAGTCTGCCTTTACACCTCTGTTATTGCATCCTATGCCTTTTCACTCTGGAACTCTTGCTATGTAATCAGCAAACCCTCATAGAGTCTTGACTTCTTTGTTAAGAATTCCCTCTATCTTCGTACTTTAACTGAAATCATTCTCTTTCCTGAGAACACTGTGCCCACTGAAAGCTTCTTAAAAGGTGTTGTATCACACCATATACAATTTAGAGTGGGTACCTGGTTCCCTATTGCCGTCTAAAAACCATTATTTAAAAAAAATATTAAAACATTACTCCTGAGAACAACAGATTCCAAGGATCTCAGCATTTTAGGAGACCCCTTTGAGGTCAGGATTGTAGAAAAAAAATATAGACTATCAATTCATTAAGGGCAAGGATGCCATATTACTTCTCTCACTCCCCAGAGGTGAGAACATGTCTTAGTTACACAGTCAATGCTTTAAAATGTTTATTAAATGGAATACACTCTCACAGAGAATTTTTGTGTGGTTTGGTAATACTTTCAGTGACAGCATACAAAAAAAAAAAAGATTGAAAGCAATAGAGGTAGCTACTGGTTCTAAATAAATACAATTGAATAGGTAAAAAAAATAAAATCAAGACTATGGAAGACCAGATACAAAAAAAAATCACACAAAAGAAACTCAAAAAAACTTCCAATACAATACAAACAGTTATAAATGCTGGATTTAAAAAATAACATTTTAGGACTCATATGTAAGCTTGTAAAAAATTAAGAAAATAAAAACATAGAAATAAGAAATAAAGAGGATGTTAGAAACCAGAAAGTTAAGCTCACACCCTAGAGGCAGTCATAGTGTTAAAATCACAATAGGTCAGAAGACAAAAACCACTGGCCATGAGAACATGGACAAAAAAACCTGGCATTGCTTTCATTCTCAAGACACTTATCAATAATGACAGTTGCTACTGAACATTTTAACAAAGCTTTTGGCAGACTCTCAAGGCAGAAGAAGGGAAAACTGCAAAACAGCAAAGGAAAAGAGGCTCTGATAAGTACCCCAGTCTTTCAATTAAGATCCCAAGAAGAAAGAGAAACCAGAAATAGCTCATCTATCATTAGGAATAAAAACTGGCTTTGCACCAACTCAATCCCTAAATGGATTCAGGTTATTTGAATCCATGGCTACCTGTATTTCAGATACACACCAAAATCCTCTCTGGAGGAAAATAACATTACCCAGAGCCTCAAATTATCTCTACAAATTTCTTACCAACAATGTTCACAAGTAAAGCAGAAATAAAAAGGTATTTTAAAAGGCCTGACCAAAAACCAAGGGAGAAAAATTGATAGTTGAAATAGACATATGAAATCCAAATATGGACTTTAAAGTTACCATTATTAATATAGTACAAGGAATTAAAAGAAGGAAAATATCAACATAGACTGAATATCAAAGAAAAATATTCTAAAAATAAAAAACTTAACGACTGAAGTTAAAAAACTGGCTTAACGACAAATTCTACACAACAAAGTGAGAATTACTGAACCAGGTTTTAAATCAAAAGAAAATATGCAAACTGAAACATCTGGAGAAAAATATGGAAAATAAAGAATAAGTCACATAAGACAAGCATGTGGCTATAATGTCAAAAATATATGTAGGAAGGTTATAAGGAGGGAAGAAATAAAATGGAGCAGGACAAATATTTGAAAAGATAATTGAAAAATTTCTAAAACTGACAACTGACATCAAATCAGAAATTCAAGAAGTCCTAAAATCACAATAGCATAAATACTTAGGTACATCATACTAAAATTGCATGAAAACAAAGGAAAAAAGAAAATATGGGTTGGAGGGGGGGAGTGGAATGGATAAAATAAATACTTCCTCCTACTAAACAATGTCAGTAAAGACTTCAGGCTGACTCCTCAAAATGAACTAAGGTAATATTTATGCAGTAAAAGCAGTAATTTAAATTAATCTTTAATATGTCAAGGATGCATTTTAAAATCTGTACAGTAACCACTAAAAAAAGAAAACATGTAAAGACAACTCATTAGTGGAAATATATAGAATTATTAATCCAAAAAACTTGTAATCTTAAAGAAAGCCAAAAGGAGAGAAAAGGAAACATAGAACAGAAGGGAGAAATAGAAAATAGTAGGGTAGCATTTAAAACCTAATACATGAAAAGTTACAGTGAATATAATCAGACTAAATACTCTAATTAAAAATTTTTTAATGATTGTTTATTCTTGAGAGAGAGGGGTACAAAGTGTGAGTGGGGGAGGGGCAGAGACAGAGGGAGACACAGAACCCGAAATAGGCTCCAGACTCTGAGCTGTCTATAGAGGCCCTGACACAGGGCTTGAACTCATGAACCATGAGATTATGACCTGAACCAAAGTTGGATGTTTAACCAACTAACTGAGGGGCGCCTGGGTGGCTCAGTTGGTTAAGCATCCAATCTCAGCTCAGGTCATGATCTCATGGTTCATGGGTTCGAGCCCCGCATCAGGCTCTGTGCTGACAGCTAGCTCAGAGCCTGGAGCCTGTTTTGGATTCTGTGTCTTCCTCTCTCTCCGTCCCTCCCCTGCTCACACTGTCTCTATCTCTCTCTCAAAAATAGATAAAACATCAAAAAATTTAAAAAACAACAACTGACTGAGCCACCTACGTGCCCCTAAATATTCTAATTAAAAGGTAATTCTCAAATTGGATTTAACAAAAATGAAAATACTAAAAAAAAAGAGATTCTGCTTTAAAGAGTCTCACCTTAACTATAAAAGGAGGAGATATTAAAAAATAAAAGAATGGAAAAGGATATAATAAGCAAACACTAGCCGGAAAGAAAAGTGATGACTATAATAATATTAGAAAAAGTAAACAATAAGATAAGAAGCATTATTAAAAATAATGAATTGTTCTACCAGAAAGCTATAATTCCAAATTTGCTTGTATCTAGAGGTATAGTCTCTAATAATATAAAGGAAAAACTGCAAGTCTAAAAAACAGAAAGAAAGAAGAAAAGAAAGAAAGAAAGAAAGAAAGAAAGAAAGAAAGAAAGAAAGAAAGAAAGAAAGAAAGAAAGAATCCACAGAATGGGGAATTTAAAAATTTCTTTTTTGGTAATGGATACAAATATAAACTAAAATTATCATTAAAGATATAGAATATCTGAACATAGTCAAATATACCTAATTGCATATACAGAATACTGCATCCAACATTACATGCTTTATAGATAATTAATTGTAATAAGAGGGTATCACAAGCAACTTAACAACATATCTGAAATTTCAAATGAAATCAGGCTTGTAGAAAATACAACATATTAAAATGATATAAGAAGAATAGAAAGTCTGTAAAGTCTTATATATTTTTAAAGAAATTAAGTTTGTAATTAAACCCCTCTTTGAGATTAAGACAAGGATACTTGCCAACACCATTTCTATCTGAAAGGGTAATGGAGGACCTAGTAAGAACAATGAGGGGTTGCCTGGGTGGCTCGGTCAGTTAGGCATCCGACTTTCGCTCAGGTCATGATCTCACGGCTTGTGAGTTTGAGCCCCAGGTGGGGCTCTGTGCTGACAGCTATAAAGCCAGAAGCCTGCTTTGGATTCTGTGCCCTCCTCTCTTTCTGCCCCTTCCTTGCTCATGCTCTCTCTCTCTCTCTCAAAAATAAATAAACATAAAAATTTTTAAAAAAAAAGAACAAGGAGGTAATGAAAATAAATCAAAGGCATAAATATTTCAGAAAATAATAAAACTCTTTGTTGGCAGAGAGCACAATTGTGTGTATATAAAAATCAAATTTGCAGACAAAGTTTTAGAATAAATCATTTAGGAAAGTGGTGGAGCACAAGACAAACATGTAAAAATCAACTATATTTCTATATGCCAGACACAATTTAAAAATCATACTATTTACAAGTCTATAAGAAAACATTAAAGATCTAGAAACAAATATACTGGAAGCTATAGCATAATATTATATGGAAAGCTATAAAACATAATTGAAAGAAATTAAAGAAAACTTAAATAAATGGAGGGATAAACTGAATTTATGGGTTAAAAAGTACAATAGGGGAGCACCTGGGTATCTCAGTCGGTTAAGCATCTGACTCTGGATTTTCGCTCAGGTCATGATCTCATGGGTTCAAGCCTTGCATCAGGCTCTGCACTGGCAGTGTGGAGCCTGCTTGGGATTCTCTCCTTCTCCCTTTCTCTGCCCCTTCCCTATTCTCTCTCTTTCTGTCTCAATAAATAAATAAACCTTAAAAAATATAATAGGGAATGACAGCACAGAAAGTGATAAGTAGGGAGCTTCAAGGATCCATTTTCCATAAAAGTAACTAAAGATGTGGCAAAAATGGTCAGAATCATGGCTTTACAGGACTCTGGAATCTGGTCAGGAACTTAACAGTAAGTGAAGGTTTAGAGAATAAAGAAGTGGCTGCATCTGGTAAGAAAATGCTGTGGATTTTAAGTTGTCTACCTACCATTCCTCCATTCCACACCAGTGGTGGCCCTATGTGAGCAGCTTACATTCTTGATGAAGGTTGCTATTGCCAGAGGTAGCGATATGGATCTAATTTTCAAAGAATATATTTGTCACTTGTGAACTGAGGTTGTCTGTTGGCTCCCTGAAGTATTTGCACAAGGACTAGCCTTTGTTTTGCCC